TGTTACGGGTTTGTTTTGCTACTTGCTGCCTAATCTGAGGGCTCTGTTGTGCTCTTTCAAAAGAGGACACAATAGGGGCAGCGCAATTTAAATATCAAGGAATGTATTAGAGTTTATTTCTAAAATGAAATGAAAGGGATATTTGAATTTCAAGAGCGACAAAAACTCTAATCCATCTCTTGGAATTTAAATTGCACTGCCCCCATTCAGTGTGCCATTTTCAAAGAGCACAAAAAGGCTTCAGATTGAAGATTCCATCTCATAAAATTGTCTATAAGAGAGAAAGAGAGTTTATTTCGAGAGAAAAAATGAAATGGAAGGGCTATTTGACAAGAGCCCTTTCATTTCATTTTAGAAATAACCTCTTTTTTTCTCCTAAAGACAATTTCTCTCTTGAAAAGGCTCTGCCAGGCCCCTCAAGCTCTGCCATGTTGTATGGATCCATTAGAAAGCAAAATAAGCCCACTCAAAAATTAATATATATTAAAACGTCATAGCGATTCATCCAAATAAGAAATCGACGTAAGAGGCATTTTGAAAGTTTTAAGAAAATTCCTTCAAATTCCAGGATATTGGATGTTATTTTTCAGGAAACTCTATTTAAACGAGTGGAAGCACTGGCGGTTCTGTTTTTTTTTTAAACTGTAACAATTCTCCTTGGATCAGATATAGACCAAAAACAAGCCTCATTATCTTCAGTATACAAGTGTCATTTCGGACCTTACAGCTTTCATAGAAATCGCTTCTGGACCGTCAAAGAAAAAGTTTGAGAACCTCTGGTCTACGCATTATACACATCAGGACCAACTTGACAACTTGACACAAATTTGAGGGGGGTTCGACCCCCCCCCCCTGCGTACGCGCCTGCATGTGCATCCCTTCCTCCTTATTCCCTTATCCATAGTTACCGTCACTACCATTTGAGTAGGGCCGCCCCCTCCTTAATAACGACTCTCAAGCCATCAAGAATGACCCCATAATTTATAGATTACCATTCTGCCGTTCTTTGGAGGGGCCGGGCGCGGCCTTTTCAGAAGTGTTTCTACACTAACCTTTTCATGCACTACGGCTTAACATAAACACGCATGCTAAGATTTTTTTCAAAAGAAGCATAATTTCGACTCAGTTTCGCATAACCTAAAAAAAGGAATACGGCCAGTCACCCTCCCCCCTCCCCTCAATACATCCGCCTTCACGCACCCCCCCTTCCCCTTGTCTTTCCCTTATTCGTCGTTACTGTCACTAATTTTTAGTGCCATTTCGTTGTCTTTCTTTCTCCCCGGCTCCTCTCTTCTTTTTCTTTCCTCTTTTTTGAACTCTCTCTCTTTTCGTACTTTTTTGTTCTCTTTTCTTTTATCTTCTCCTTTTCCCCCCTTTTTTTCTTTCTTTTTGTCTTCCTCTTTTTTCCTTCTTAATTTTTTTGCGCCGCCAATAGGGGGGGGGGCGCGGCCGTTTCGGCCCACCCCTGGATCCGCCACTGAGAAGTATTTCGTGATTTATCGTGTCAAACTCCTTAGTGGAGTCATTAAAGCACTCTTAACTCTATAGTTTGGACGCCTTAAAGAAAGCAACCATCGTAGGTTCGAAACTGTCAATAAAGCGAGCCACCTTATTTTAGTCAAAAGGGCATGTGTTGTACTATGCTTTTCACGGAGGCCAAACTGTGCCTGGTAGAAAATATTACTAGTACATAAGGACTTCACTGTACGAACATATTTTTCAACAACTTTAGATAAAGATGCCAGCAAGGAAATAGGTCTGTAGTTTCCTGACTCTAACGGATCTCCTTTTTTGAAGACTGGAACAACTTTTGCCAATTTAATCAATTGTGGTACCAACCCAATTGTAAGTGATAGATTGAAAATATGGACTAAAGGTTGGACAATATGAAGGGTTAATTTTTTTCAAGAGATTATTGCTTATTTCATCATGCATATGGAAACGTTGTATCATCCGCTCAATCTGACTTGCATGCATAGAACAAACAAACATTTTGCATAAAAAAAAGAGAAGTTTTCAAAAAAGTGGTTTCTTTCCAGCATTGGGGTGACTGGGAGTCACTTGGATAACTTTTCAAAAAGTTTAATATAAAAAATGATGTGCAGTTTCTCTGAACTGTTTTGAGAAAACGTATAGTAATCCAACACAATGTCGTCTCTTTTTGCGTTGGACAATCGCACTTCGGCCGTTAGCTTTCTTCTGGTTTGAAACTTGTTTTAATTGGTTGTAAATTGTTGTAGAAATTTACCCATTCACATAATGGAACTACCTGTCTGATCAAAGAGATTGCTGGTATATCTTTGGTCTGATGAAGACAGTGGCCCGTGACCCATGTAATCAAAACTATGTGGGAATTAGTTGCGGTCAACTCCTTTTATGAGACAAATCCAAGCAAACGTTTCCATAATTATGTCCAGAACTCCGCTTATTCTTCAATCAGTTAATTATGTCTATAATTTCACTTTCAAGGATTGGTGTTAAATGTATAGAAAATAAATTTGGGGCTCCAAGACAGTCAGTGAAAGGCTTATTTGAGGCCGGTATTTTATGGGCAAGGTTTAGACCAATATTTGAAAAATAATCATTAAAATATTCCGGAATTAGATGTGTATTATCAATAATTTCATTATTTTAACTTTAATCTTTGTGGAATATTTGTGGAAGTCTTGCTTTTCCAGTTTTGATTACTTTCCAAGTATATTTTAGGTCATTGCCAACATTAAATTGTAATCTTGTCGGAAACAACGGTCCCTGTGTGCCATCGAAATAGACCTACATTCTAAACCAAGCAATTTGCAATGCCTTAAGTGTCTTTTAGTGGATTTTTTTATAGTTCCTGATGATAGAGAGAAAGAGAAACAGAGAGAGAGAGAGAGAGATAGAGAGAGAGAGAGAGAGAGAGGAGAGAGAGAGAGAGAGAGAGAGAGGGGGAGGGGGAAGGGGGCTTTAATCAGTTTAAAAAAAAGATTACGAGCCTAAACGTAAAGTTGAAGGATCAAGAGGACCGTCAAGCTTGACTAGCCGGCTAATTATGACTCTTGACCACTACTCTATAGTAAGATTAACACAGAGAAATTAGTGAGATACAAAATAATTTTTTGTTTCGCGATCAGAATTTTTTTCTTTCTGTGTGTGAACCTGAACATGTCACTTAAATGTGGGAACCTGATCGCGATCCATCTCTCACTATTGTGCGAGTGAGCCTTGTGTGTCACAGTCGTGTTTTTCTCCCCCGTTGATGATGCCGGTGTTATATGAATCCAAAAACAAGTAAGTTCACATTTTTAATATGCATGTCGTGAGTCTTACATTTTCGATAAAGACCTTAATTCTATACTTTTAGAACCATATGACAAAGTTTATTTTTCGATGAAAACTTTATTAAAGTCTACCATTTTCAAATACGAGAAAGATTTCGCAGAGGTATAGGGATGTGGTAGATGAACAAAACTGTGTTTGTTGGAGATTTAGATCTCCCAAGTTAATTGTCACATATGTATTCTAATAAATGAATATGGAATGAGGAATGAATGGAAGTGCAGCTGCATGCTTGAATTCTTTAGAAGCACTCTTCTGAATTGATTTTAGATAATATATATCTTTTCCCTGCTAAGTCGCAGTCGGAAAAGGACAACATTTCCATTAAAATGGAATATTTTGTATAATACAGCATCTAGTTTGCTGATATTTCCATTTTACTACTTCTCTCTGCATTCATAGATAGCAATGATTGCTGTTGCATTGTTTATGTAAAGATAATGGTTACTGGTGATGATTTACAGGTTTTGTGCTCATCAAATGTCGGTAATTCGTTTTAATGGAGAGAGGGAGTGAAGGAGTATATATACGCTGTCTTGTAAAAGGGACTTTACTCTCTCGCAAACATAGCGATTTGTATATGAGAGCATAAAATCGCTATGTTTGCGACATTAATGTTTCCCCTTGTAAGATGGACAAGGTTCAGGAATTTTATAGGATTTAATATATGAAATGGATTTGTAGGATCCCCTATGGAGGACAGTCATTCGAATTTCCGTTGTGTGTCGTTCCATGGGCTCACAGCGCGAGTCCATTTTCTTGTTGGTGTGATGTTGTTGGTGTCTTTGTTGTTGTTATTCGTGTGTATAAAATGAATACTTCCACAGTTAGTTCCTTATCCTTTTTCCTTAACAAACTCTCGCATATGATGCAAGATGATATCACGATATTTCCATGAATTGTCGTGACCTGGTCGATAGTCGGAAAAAGATAGGATATTTTGTTATATTCAAAGTCAAAACAATGTGACGCGTGTTGCATTCCAGATTCGCATATGTGGGGGGGGGGGGGGGGTATAGTGAGCACTATTTTTTCTTCTTTATGCCCTCGAAAATTTGAAAAATACCCCCCCCCCCCTTGAGCGCCGGGGGAGGGGGCCCATCTCCAAAAAATGGTAACATTTACACGTTTTTTCCCCAGGGGTGCTCCCCCACTGGCTAGACTTCAAAACAGTTTTGCATGAAGAATTAATATATTTTTACACCTTATAAATCTCACTTTGTTTGAAGCATGTGATATTCATCAAGTTAACCAACTTTAGACTCTCGGGATGCCGAAAATGTGACTCAAATCATCACTTTAGCGACCATTGTGTTTGGAAATCTGTCTTAGTTTTGTCATACGGAACGTAGCTCTTTTCCCCAACGGGCCGGCTCCGGCGATCTTGGGGTTCATGTAAGCATACGTATGTAGGCCTATACGTTGTACCTTCCTATATTATCGGCATACAGCAAGCAGGTACTATTGTTCTCTCTGAGTGCGTTCACACTTGATTGCGTTCCGTCTTGATTGCGTTCCGGATTTAACAACGTGCTATATTGTTCAGAATCGATCGTATGCCGTAAAATTCTACAGAGTTTTGTTTGCATGCATGATCATACACTATGTCCAAGCCGCAACATCCCTATGTTTCTACGAGGCAAACAGCTGAAACCCCTAAGGTAAATGTTTCTTTCAAAGATATCATACAACATGAGGATTTTTTAGATGCGGTGAAGAAAGCTGTGAGAGAAGCTGAATAGGTCTTGTTGCAGCTAGTATACATTCGCTGAGTTCATGTAGTTCCCACAATCTTAATACTTGTTTACCTTTAAAAGGATGAATCAGAAGCCGAATGTGTTTTAATTATATGTTGGAAAATACTTTGTATTTTCGGGTAAAATCTATACATTATAGTTTGTAAGATAACAAGTGGATGAATATGTAACACCTTGGTCAAGAAGGAGGGTTGAAATTAGAGATGATCATGCTGAAGGTGTCAGTACGAGTAAGGTCAGGAGGTTCCGAGTTTAGGAGAGAATTGTAGTGAATATACTGTATTTTCGAGGTATGTACATTTAAAGTCACATGTGATTAAGCATCAACTTTGAAATTGTGAAGTTCCTATAGCCATAAGTGTATTACATACATGTAGATGTATATGAAGATTGAAAGTTTTCTGCACTGTGAGTGGCTAAAAGTGATAATGTAGTGTTCGTGCAGCGCACACTTGCTGCACACAGACAATGGATTTTGCTCCTTGAGTGTGAGTTTGCTCACGTGACACGTAGAAAGTTTTACTCTTTGAATAGACAATTGAGTTATGTTTAAAGTCAAGATATGTGATATGGCAGGAGATTAATTAAAGGAATTCTGTAAATATATAAGAGGTATTCGTCATAATATTAAGGGATTATAGTACATGTAATCAATTGTGGGATTTTATAACACGTTTTTAGTTACAGGGTGCAAAGTCAAGCACATTGTTGAAAGTTACTCGGCATGGCTTCGTTTTGTTGTTTAGTGGATGATGACTAGGTTAGGTGTCAGACCTTATTTGGTCAGAACCAGGTTATGAGTATTGCAAAGTATATGCTTTTTATATTTACAACTATAAAATACAATTATATCATCAATAGAGATATTTTGGTGTTGGTTTAGAAGAGGATGGATTATTGCAGGTAGTATTGGCTAAATGACCATACTAAATTAATTATATGTATGTATTTAATCTTTAGGGGGTCTGCAGTATTAGAGACCTGTGTTCAGTGATTCCCAGCAGTAGCAGTACGTTACTAAGTTGTCGAGCTAGATCACAGCTGAGGATTCTCCAGGTATGATTTAGTCTTTTATGTGAATATGTTAGTAAAAGACAAAGGTTATATTGGTAGTTTTGTTTTATGTAAGCTAAAGTTTAAGTAGCTAATTATCATCTTTATATGAATGTAGATATACACATGTAGTCTTTAATGATTTTGCATGATTGCTCACTACTAGGAGTATGAGTCATTGTTAGTAGTCACATTATTATTCTTTCCATTGTTGTTTCAGCATTTATCTTTGTTGTAGATGCAAATTGTCGTTCTGTGATTAGATTACAGAAAATCATGTACTAATAGTAGTCGTAGTTATCGAAGTATACCCGGAATATCGATTATGTCACTATACAAAATACACTGTATGACGGTCCTTCATTGTCATCACCTTATCAGTTATTCAAGTTCAGGATACAATGTGATTATTAAGCATTTAATCTGAAACGACTCCAAAGACTTGTGTTTGTGTGGATACACACAATACATTTCAGATATTGTTGTTCACTGTAGTCTACAGTTATATTTGCAGAAATTCGTACTTACAATTGTAGGGTAATTGTGTTTTGTTTCATAGAGCTCGCATAGTTCCAGGAGAGTGACTGGATAGAACGGCAAGGTGTGAGGCTACGTCTAACACTGAGCAGTGGTTGTTGTTCAGGTTAACCTTAGTTGGGTGAGTCAGTCAGAATGGCCTAGTTATAACAATTATTTTTAAAGGATTGAACAGTTAGATTCATTTAATTGTATTGATGTTAACAAATAATGATAGAAGGGTCATATCTTCATCATATGTGTTTCTGTAATAAGATAACAGATGATGTTGTTCATGTATATTATAATCAGTGATACAATATTGATGCATTGTCTTTTTTGTTTTGTATTTGCAGAGGTTTTCTGTTCTATTCTTATTCTACCTAAGGCCTAAAATAAAAACTTGTTGTATTGCCCTTTGGGTGCCAAAACAATGGTCGGTCGATCGGAGTTTTTTTTTGTCGCCCTCTTTGGGCCGATATTTTCAGATTTTAACGCTTTAATACATGTGTTTCCACTTCATAATTATCCATGGTTTGCACGAGTGAGAATTTTGGAATAATTTGATTTTATGCATTTATATCCCATTTAAACGAACAAAATACATATTTTTTTATTCATTAATAAAAAACAATATAAAATATTCTCCCCCCAAAATGCTTTTTGGGCAAGATTTTTTTTTTCTCCCTTCAATTTTTTTTTTTCATAAGATTTTTTTTTTAAGGTTTTTTTTTTTTTCTTTAATAATCCTGAAATATTATTTTTCAGTCAATTTTTTTTGCTCTCCTTTTTCTTAAATTTTGATTGACCCGAAAAAAAATCAAGCCAAGGCTATCTATAACAGTTATTGACTGGCAGGGGGTATATAACATTCTTTGGACCTGAAGGGAGTTATTTTTTCCCTCGTGACCATATTTTCCCTCAGCGCTGCGCGCTTTGGGAAAATATAACCACTTGGGAAATATAACTCCCTTCAGCAGTCCAAATAATGTTATATTACACTCCTGCCAGTCAATAACTCTATATTGTTTGGCTTCCATTGTGTTCGATCTGCGTCCATAAGCTAGACTACAACAATGTTGTTTTTAAAGGTGTGGAAATTGGTAATGGCTCAAGTTTATCATGTACATTTCTCATTCTATTGAAAATAAGTAAAGCTGTACTTTTCTTGAAGGCATGATTTGTGCTTTAGTAGGACGTGGTCCCCCCCCCCCCTGCTCAGTGTCATCAACTACTTATCAATGTGGGTCAAGTGACGACGTAACAAGATTCAAGTCCACCGATTTATCTTGCCTTAAAATAATCTAGATTTCACGATCTGAGCTTATTAGACGCCCAGGCTACGAAACAAAGGGTGATAGACGATACTCCATTAAAAAGTGACTCGATAGTATTGTTGAAGGTTGATGAAAATACTGCATAGATTTTGTATGAAATGTTACTTATTATATTCCTTGTACTGTACTAACCCTCTAACATGCACAAACTACTGAAACAATTCTCAAACCACAACGATATTTATGGTTTTCCTTGAAGGCGTCACTGTGCGACGCCCTCAGTAAATTTTCCCAACCATTTTTGAATTTCCCCAACCGTTTGCCATGAAAAAGAGACATAGAACAGGCTTTTACAAAAACTGTCAACACTTAAATTGTCGGGAATGGTTTATACAGCTAATTCATTGCTTTGTGACGAGTTTTCATTCACCTAAAATGTAATTGAATTGTAATAATATAGTTTGGAGAATAAAGGCCTGCTTCACTCAAACTTTAAGACCATCTTTAATTGTATATCTGGCATTGAAATCACTACATTTAATAGCACCGTTTTCCCTCATCTGAACAATGCTACTAGGACACTTTAATGTCGATGCATAATAAGTTAAGTCATTTAAACCGTTGACTAAAGGTTTAAATTCTTGGACTTAAGGCTCGTTCACATTTGCCACAATTTATTTGTGCACTAAATGAATGAAATGTGGGAACAGAAAAGAAGTAGCTGTGCATTATAAAGGCTCTACGGAGTACGTACTTACTTATCTGTGTTTTATGAGATTCAAAACGTGAAGCGCAGGACGCTTACAAAATACAGCGATATATACCTGCAGTTTATTGTGACATTCTGGTAACATGCCTTTAGTTATTTACTGTTTGGAAAAAAAGAACATCTGTTATCAATGTGGTTACACTATGAATGTAAATAAATAAAACATATACCTGTCAGCAGTGGCGTACGAAGGATTTTTTTCGAGGGGGTGTTTGAAAATCGCGCCGACCGATATTTATCTCAGTGGGTAGTGAGCAATATTCGTTTTGCCTTTTTGCTCCCCCCCCCCCCAATTTTAAAATCGCGCCGACCGATATGTCGCTCAGTAAGCAAAAAAAATTAAAAAAATTGAGGGGTGGGTTTAACCCCCAAAACACCCCCGCCCCTGCGTACGCGCCTGCCTGCCAGTAGAAAAACCACTCACTCATATATTACAATACATTAACTCGCAGCTCAAGCAGCATAGAACAGTTCCTTTTCTCTTGAATTGCGATTCAACTGATTATAACCAAAGATTAAGACAATTTGATCATTTGTTCTTCTTATTATTATTGTCTTCTGTCCATCTACCGCGACAATGCCGAACTGTTTATATCGTCACTTGTTGTTCGTGTTTGCTTCTTAATTTCAGAATGGACAACGTAGAGGAAATCAGTAAGGCCAGATACATAGCGACTGAACCCATCAATTTTCTTCTTTTTGGAATTCAAGGGATGCTGACTACCCTCCGCACACTCTACATCCAAGAGACTCTCGCCAGTGACTATGAGTACAACTTGCTTCCTCAACAAGATGGCAATTGCTCACTTCCGAACGTGTCCAACCCCCTTGAAGTCCAGATCAACTCTGAGACAGCACTGTGGGTTATGTGGTTAGCAAGCATCTCGACCTTCTTACCCATCCTCACTGCATCTGTTCTGGTTGCTTCTTCGGATTTCATCGGTCGGAAACCCATTCTGATATTCTCAGCGACCGGTCACCTCATTGCGTCTCTTATATATCTCCTTGTTGCTGTGGCGAGGCTGCCCCTTGCTGTGACCTTCCTCGCAGCCATAACGTTAGGAATCTGTGGTGACACATCGGCAGCATTTACTGTCTGTACTGCTTATATTGCGGACTCTACAAGTGGTAATACCCGCACACAGAGACTAGTTTTACAATCACTCGTCCTATATGCAGGATGGGGTAGCGGCCAGGCTGTTGTTGGTGTGCTTCTACGGTACCTCGGTAACTTCCCCGTGTGTTTCGCAGTGCCAGTAGCACTATCCGTCATCAATTTAGCGTACACAATATGTCCGGGGGTACTCCTTGAGACGATATCCCCTCGAGAGCATTTCAATGCCAAGAAAGTCCTCCGCAAAAGTTTCAAGAACCTCCGAGGCATTTTCCGCAGGAGGATGTCGGGTGGAAGATGGAGGTTGTGGTGTCTGATCACCATTGTTTGCCCAATAAGTCTCGTAAATGAGAGCATTTACGATGTCATCGTCATCTATGGTCTTGGAAGCCCATTCTGTTGGACAGCTGATGTCGTAGGCTACTATTCTGCTGCCGTCTCTCTCTTTCCTGCAGGAGGTAGGTCCTCATAATTTTTGTAACAAATAAGGATCCAGACGTTGACACCAGTCTTTCGTAGTTACTGTAGGGCACTTTAAGAGATTATGGTTTTAGTTAGCCTAATGGGAGTATTTGAAAGAAAAAGGGACGTTATAGGGCATTCCTATTTGAAAATCTATACGGCAAATTAAAAATGTTGGAGCAATAAGTGTTGGAACTAATGGGGCCAATCTGTTGACTATAATGACTCAAGTTTGCTACAAACTATCAGCCTATTTGACAAAAATGGAATGCCATTAGAGATCTCGGACTGCTATCTGAGCTGAAATGCAAGTTTTGCTATATTTTATTATATTTTTAGGTGACTTTTTGTCGGGGTCTAAGAGTGCTTTTTTGTGTATTTATCCTTTTTTTTCCCTTTCTACATCCGTTACAAAAAACAAAAAAAAAAAAAAAAAAAAAAAAAAATCTTCTTTAAAAAAGAGTGATCCTGACTATATAGATTTTAGGTTTAAATTACATTTTCGAATTTTTCATAACCCCCCCCCCCCCTCTATGATTGAATTTATATGTAGCAATCAAACTTGTTTATACGTTTAAACAATTACAATGTATGATGAGCAGGGGCGGCGATTTCTTTTCATGACCGGGGGGGGGGGGACGAAATGCGAGGAACGAGGGAAGAGTGACGTAATGAGCAAAAACGGTTTTTTTTTTTTGGGGGGGGGGGGGGGGGAGAAAAAAATCCGCATCATCACCGCTCTTACATGTTACATGCAGGCCCCGCGAAACGTTTTTCAAGGTGGGAGTGGGGGGGGGGGGCTAAAGTATTTGCGATCAGATAGAGCAAAGCAAGTGGGGCGTAAATTGGCGTGGGGTCCAGGGGCGGAGCCCCATGAAGCTCAGAGTTTTTATGCATTTAATAAGGGTCAGATGAGCATATTTTGATACCTTATTTGTGACACTTGCATGCAGGTCACTAATCGGAGTGGGGTCCAGGGGGCGAAGCCCCCAGAAGCTCAGCGGCTGTAGGCATTAAATTGCGATCAGATGAGCATCCAGGGGCCGCCTTAGGGCCCTTGGTGGGGTCTAAGGGCGGAGCCCCCGGAAGCTCAGGGTTTTAGACTTTTGAATATGGTCAGATGAGCATCCAGTGGCCTGCCGAGGGCCCTGGTGGGGTCCAGGGGGCGGAGCCCCCGGAAGCTCAGGTGTTTTAGGCATTTAATTGTGGTCAGCTGAGCAACCAGGGGCCCGCCTTAGGGCCCTTGGTGGGGTATAGGGGCAGCAACATTTGTAAATTAGTCACTGGTATCGAATTAGAAAATGAGTTTTATCGGGAGGGGGGGGGGGGGGGCTACCCCAAGCCCGAGTGAGTGAGCATAATTAATGAGAGGTGTGAAGGTGACGAAAGTGATTACCCCCTCATAGGTTTTGAAGTTTTGTTGTATTACAGAATTATATTCCTTAGCATTCCTTACAAAAATCGAGGGGGGGGGGGGGGACGTGTCCCCCCCCCCCGTCCCCCCCCCCCCCCCCCGGGATCGCCGCCCCTGATGATGAGGATCAAGTAAACAATACTAACACCATACAATCTAAGTTGCATCTTAAATTCAGAATTTATAGCTTCTCATGTATTCTTTGAAGTGTAATATTGTCTTCAGTATCAAGATCAATGTGATATCGGTGTCGGCCCGGTCGCGGTACGCTCGTCTGCGCTGCTCTACAGTAATTCAGTGACAGTATACGTTATTGTTATAATTATGATTATTTTTATGAAGGTTGGTTTGAAAAATATAAAACAAATATATCATGTACTATATATTTCAGTGAAATTATGGACTCCTCGGCGACAGAAATAGCACTATTTTCTTCGGGGCTACATCTCTCAAAAGTGTGCTATTTCTGTCACCTCGATCCATAATATTAAATAGAGCTTCTCAGTGCATGATATATTTGTTTACTATCAAATACTACAACCATAATCATCATTATTTTCATTACTAATAGTATTGTTATGCCTATTATTATTATATTTTTGATTAATTAAATTCTGTTCAGTGATTGGTCAACATACCATCATGTGACCAAAAGCAACATTGCTATGATTTTCCCGATAAGAGAAACGTGACGTCATCCATGGTATAGTGCACTATACCATAGATGACGTCATAGATATGCGATCGATCAATCGATCGGTCAAGACCACACACACACACAAAAAAAAACCACTAGTGAAATTATGGATTCCTCGGTGACAGAAATTATTATTATTATATTTGAAAAAATATAAAACAAATATATCATGCACTATTTCAAGCCACTAGTGAAATTATGGATTCTTCGGCAACAGCAATACTATTTTCTTCGGGAAAAGCGCGATTCCTGCCGATCCGATCCATAATTTCAATTAAAGCCTCTCAGTGCATGGTGTATTTGTTTATTATCATCATTATTATCATCATCAACATTGTATGTATATATTCATTTGCTTGTTTGTATGTTTTATGTTTGTTGTTTCTTCTCTCTTTCACAGTTGCAGCGCTCATTGTGAAGCCGCTACTGAGATGCTTTTCGGAATACTGGCTCATCCATTTTTCGATCATTTCTTTCCTCGCCCAAATAGTGACGTCAGCATTGGCACAGAATACTGTTCAGCTAGCCATCATTGGTAGTGTAAACTTCTAAACATGTACAACCCACTACTTTTGCCATATTACAACACACTCCATCAAGAGCTCTGAAACGGCAATCCAACCCTTGTATTTGTATCAAAACAGAAAATAAGACAATAAAAATGGAGAAATTCGAAATAAATCCGACCAATAATAAGAAAGTTAGGAATGTTTGAAATATGAGATCATTAAGTCTATGGGAATCTCAAATTGGCAGTTTGGTCAGTGGATTGTGACGTAGTCGCGGATAACTCTCCCGTTTGTCGTGTACACAATTATCATTAATTTATGTTTTTCTCCTAAGTGCCTTCTCCCTTGGAGCACTGCTCAGAATACAAGTTATGAATAGCATACTAGTATAGGTCTTAACATTTACCTTAACTCACCTTTTGCTATCCAATTTTAGCAACTGTCGTCAGCTTCATGAGAACCACCGCTTCACCTGTTTGCAAAGATCTCATTTCCAGAGCGGTAACAAAGAGAGAGCATGGTAAGAACTCAGTTCGTTGACACATGATCAGTGTTTATTTACTTCCTTTTTTTTGGGGGGGGGGAGGGGGGAGGGGGGAGGGGGTCGTTGCATAATATACATTTTTGTTCTTCAATGCAATGAAATTCCGAGAGATAATATGTAGTTTTTGTTGGTAATTCGCTTCATCACGTTGCATAAAACTTACCATTGATGGTAACTAAGCTATCAATGGCAACTTACATGGTATTACCAGGGCTCAACAGCCAATCAAAATCAAGGTTTCCATGGTAGTTACCATTGATGGTAAGTTTTGTGTGTTTTTTTTTTGTAATGTTAGGACATTTCAAGAAACTTAGCGTAGTTTATTCGGTTATGCGCTTTATCACGTCGATTTACACGACGACAGACTGAAAACATAGTTCATTGGAAAGCAAGAAACAAATAAAATTCTGGATTTGATATACAGTGTTTTAATTCCCCCATACATAGAATATACATTATATTTGATTTCTATACATATTACAGGAAAAAAATTATCATGTTCGAAAATGTATGTATCATCATGCGGTAGTCAGTAAGGAAGTTTCAGGCCACAATCAGTCGCAGATGGCTGGAATCATTTTTTGTTTTATCTTTCCAGGAATGTATTTCGCCTTGTTATCCCTTGCCACGAGTATAGTGGCTGTTTGTTCACCCTTCCTCATCAATGGACTATTCGCATACACGAATAAGATTGGCTTCCCTCAAATCACATTTTATGTGACTTCAGTTATTCTACTTTTCCCTATGACATTGAATGGGTAAGTCAACAATTGTATACTTACTTTATACATCGACGATGTCTCTAAAACACTATTTTTGAGACAAAATAAACTAACACGCAATTTAGATATACTATTCTATTGTATATGTTCCATGGAAATCATGTTAATATTACGTAATACGTTATTATCAAGTTCGCACATTTCACTTGGTGACGCACAAGGCTATTGAAATTGCCTAAAGTTGATTTTCGAAAGTATTTGCTTTCGTGTTCTACGTGCCTTACAGCTATATTATTACCCAGGTCACATTATTAAAGCTTTCGCGCATACTGTTTTCATAGTTTGTACTCCTTTGGGAGCATTCCAGCCACTATGCTGGGCAAACTACAATTACTTTCGCATCCTACCGGTAATGACCGGGTACCCAATTAGCACTGCATGAGGTTAAGAGTGGAAAATATAGATTAAGGTATTGATTAATGAAATACTATGGAAATATTTTAATTCATGTATCATAATAACTTAATTTAGTTCAAAGTATGAAGGATTATTATCTTTGCTGATAGTCTTATATTGTAATTTCTGCAGCAAGAAAATCTGAACGAAGATATAAATTCTCAAATCTATTGGTAATTTGGCGGTAGATGATGTAAGCAACATATCCTGCATGGCTGGATGCATAGTTATATTTCTGCCTTCTTTATGACTTAAGAAGTCGTCAACAAATAATTATAAAAACAATTCACATGTATCCGACTCTTATATTATTTTGTATTTTACATCTATTTTTTAATTTTAGAATACTGCAGAACTACGTTCAAAAGACACAGAGGGAAAAGGAGTCGTCAAAACTCGACGACCAAACCGACGGATCTCGTAACCAATCTCTACGTCTTGAACCCAGCGACGATGAAATTTAAATTTTGCCTCGAACTTGAAGCAATGCCAATCAACATTAAGCGAATAAGTACCAGTAATATCAATGCTTGATTATAAGTATAAGTATCTTAAATAATGTGACTAATATAGTTACGATATAACGTAGTTGTTAGGAGTGCTCTCATATACCTCGACATAATTGTGAGTGCTAAAGGTATGACCTTTACAATTGATGACTATGACACGACATACCATAATAAATATATGTATTTACTGGGGTGCTCCAGTACGCCCCCCTCTCCCACGATGTAAGATGTTAATATGTATTATGTTATGCTATGGTCACATAACCCAAAAGTAGCCTGCTCGGCGGCCAAGCGGCGAGTTTTTAACCAATTCTGCCCAGCGGCTGCCCGAACACCGAGCGGCGGCCGCCCAGGCACCGCTCGTTTTCAGGGCATCGCTCGGTCGCCGCTGAAGTTTTAGCACGGAGTTAAAATTTGGGCGGCGCCTGCTCACTTTTCACTCGCTGCCCTAAATACGCTCGGTGCCTGGGCGGTCGCCGCCCGGGCACCGACCTAATTGCTGGGCGATGCCTAAATTCCAGCAGCGACCGAGCAGGCTACTGATCGGTCGGTCGCTGCTCTGATTTGTGACCATATAGCTTAAGTTCATAACGTTAGAAAAGCAGAGCCGTTCAAAAACTGGGGTTCTAGGGACTCCCTCTCCTCCAAAGGAGAATATGATCGAACAGAATTGAGGCAAAATGAAGCTGAAGGTATTGTTCAGTCTTGATGTGAAAAGGAGGGCACCCTATATACAAAAAAATCTCAGCCTCATCGGTGGATGTGGCAACCGAAAACCAGGGACCCCGCAAGAAAGGTTTGATCGGGTGCGGAATAGGTATAGAACCTGGTATGACTAGGTGAAGTAATGTAAGGAGACTACGCTCAAATGTGACACTCATCCGGCAGTCACCGGTCAAAATGTTTATTATCCTGTTCATAGCGAGGCAGGCAGTGGACATTCCTTTTATTTACATTGTATTGGTATGTACAGAAACAGCGTATCCTTATATGAAAAAATTTCAAAGCATATCAAACGAAATCAAAATAAAATTATAAGTTCATTGGCAACAATGTTTCAAAATGATGTGCCAGAAAAATGTGCATTTCAGGTTAATTAATAACCTATAATTATCATTACGCTTTTCCATAATATCGACAATTTTATTATCAATAATATGCCATAAATATCCCAGCTGTACCTTCCTAGTCATATACTGTACTAGTTCTATACTCTACAACTACCGACTTTGAGGTAATGATTATTTTAAATAAGGTCATTGTGTGTACAGTAAGAAGTGGTGGAAACGTTTCCATATAATTATTTACCATACTGTTGGGGTATTCCATGCTTCGACGAATTCATCTTAAATGATATGCATGCTTCATCAATCATCACAGTTTGTGTCCAATAGTACCATTGAATGGTCTTATTGTCATGATAGTTGGTTCTCGTCAATGGTTTTATTGTCCAAATAAAAGCAAGTTTACTGAGAAATTTGACGGAAATGCAAGAAGTAATCGATGAGATCTAGGCACCCTTCAATCAACGGATTCCGTTTTAGAACGTCTTCTTCTCCTGTCGCACGCAATAGAACACCTTCTGAAGTAATCGCGTTATTTTTGCTGAAAACAAGAGACAAATAAAGAAAATAAGAATGTTAGCTTTTCGACAACTGAGGAACAACGCTATGCAACAACAAATATCACTATGAATATGACGAACAAAGAAAGCGGACAAAATATACATTCCTCAGGTAGACAAAGGAACATCCCTTCACTGCTATTATGTAAAAAGGTGAATATGCATGTGACACCTGTTCTACACATTTTTAAATAATAGCAGTGAAGGGATGTTTCTTTGTGTACCTGAGGAACTGTATATTTTGTTCGCTTTCATTGTCAGTCATGTTCATTTTCATAGTGTATAATCGTGAGATCATAACTTAAAGGTTGTGATGATACGGATGGTAATAAAGGTGATGATGAAGTTCTAAAGTTAAAATTATTTGTAAATGATGTACAAACCAAATGATTATATAAATTTACCGGCTCGGGAATTAAATACACATTTATACATGTGTTACTGGCCCTCGAAATTCTCTGAAGATGCGATTTGGTTTAAACCAATAATGGTCAAAACACACATCTCTCTTGAGGCAGATTTTTTTTAATGTGGCCGTTTAGGTTAAAATCTTATTCTAACATGATTAAAACATCTTAACAATACAGACAACTTGTATTTTTCGTCACTTCTGATGTTTTAATGTTATTGTTTTCTGTTTTCCACAAAGTAAACGGCTGGAAAGGCGAGGATGCGAGAAATTGATGGGTGAAGAAACGAAAAGCTAGAGAGATAGATTAGGGGGTTCTAGGCCTAGCTCCTACCCCCTGGACATCCACCCCCGGATAACCACACCCAGTCAACTAATCCCTAGGGCAACCACCCCTAGGACGGCTACCCCCCGAGACAACTACCCTCCGGACAACTATCCCTAGGACAACTACCCCCTAAGACAACTACCTCCGGACAACTACCCCCTAGGAGAACTACCCCCGGACAACTAGTCCCCCGGACAACTCCCCCAGACAACTACCCCCTACGACAACCATCCTCTAGGACGACTAGCCCCCGGACAACTATCCAAGGGGGTAGTTATCTGGGGCGTAGTTGTCCTGGTGGTAGTTGTCCTAGGTGGTAGTTGTCCGGGGGTAGTTGTCCCAGGATTTTGTTGTCGGGGGTAGTTGTCCGGGGGTAGTTGTCCTGGGGGTATTTGTCCTAGGGGTAGTCGTCCTAGGGGGTAGTTGACTTGGGGTGGTAATCCGGGGGTGGATGTCCAGGGGTAGGTTTCCGGATAGGAGATTAGGGACGTGCATGATGAGTGTGTGGGCGGCTTTGGTGGGAGTGCGCGTGCGTGTTGTGATTGTGTATTTTTAATTGGGATTTTACAGACGTGTATCAATAAGATAGGATTATATATGTCTGGGGACCATCATTTTTAGAAACTGAGCTTTGAAGAGAAGAATTGAGTTCTGGGCCCTGTCTTATAAACAGTTAAAGTTGATACTCTAAGCAAATAAATGTCCCTTAATTTGTTACCTACGGCAAGTATATGTTATTTTTAAGTTTTTCAATTTCTTAGTATATCACCAAAAATTTCTGTCTACTCGAAATCCTCAATTGAAATGTCGAAAATATCCGCCTCTCTTTGCATAGAAAATCAGTCACGGCGCTGGTCTACTATTTATGACCTCACGTCCGGGAAAGAGTATATTCACGTACCCGGATGTTCCATAGCAAACATGTGCAGAGTGATACGATTTTCTGCATATTTTTGTTTCAAAGGCTGAAAAATCTAATAAATCATAATTCTATGTACAATTCTTTACCTTCCCCTAGTACTTCATAGTATCAATATCAATTCCCCTTTTTAAAAATTATGACATTTACATGCCAACGATGTGCTATTAGTCGATATTTTCACCATGTAATTTTTGTTTTGGTGTTGAAATCGGCCCAGGCACGGAGTAAACAGTAGCTGTCTACCCATGCACGGTTCATTACCATACACTACAGCGATCTCCCGATGGTTTCTTCTTCCTTTTTCCCATGTCTTTCGCCTTCCTTGGCCCTGAAGATCCTTCATCTACCAATAACGGTAGTCAGGAGCAAGTCTTTGTTAGTTGTTTTTCTTAGCTGGCAACGTCGCTTTCATTCTCTTGCAATTGCCGATAAACATATAACTAGCGCACGTACGTTCCATCACAAGCAAGCAGCGCCTAGAGCAGCGGCTTGGTATACCTCCCGATTCTGCTCGCTTCACGAACGTTCATGCAAGAGCCGCATCACTCGCCAAAATATTATAGAGGAAGCGCGCTTGCATGATCTCGTTCAAGTTTGATATTTTACAACATAAAATGTTTAACTGGTACTGTATCCTTTTTTGAGGCAGTCACACACATCTATGATAAGTACTATCATAGTTCTAGACCTATTCGTTTTACAAAACTGCTCCTGTACCTTATCTGATGACAATATGCATCCGCCTATATTCATACGTGTACGATTTAACTTTAATTCCTAAGCAGTAAACTCGTCTTAAATCTCTACCAAATAGGTGAATATGAGGATATAAAAAGAAATCAGCGACTGGAAAATGTTGCTTCGTTATTCTTCATTCAAATGAAAACAGAAAATCCATCAAATATACTGGCCTTAACAACAACAAATCTAAGCTCTGACAGGATAGCATTTACGTAAGAATATCACTGCCATTCACTCTCACTGAGCCCATGAGTCCCGTTCGTGACGTCACGGATAGAGGCCCGACTCTACGTGCACTTCCGGGTTTCAGACTTAGATATTTTGGTAGAGTTTACTCTAATAAATTCATTATTCTAAACTTGTTTTGTCGGGTGGACACCATTTGGTGTTATTATGGGGGTTAAAAGCTTTCTATTTATGTAATTATCTCAGTATTTGGGATTGTCTTAGAGTATCAACTTTAACGATTAGATGCTGCTTGTAGCGCTATAGTTCTCCTTAGAACTATAAGCTAAGAAAAATAACCAACAGTCTTTTTCAAGACTATACCAGCAGTCCTTTTCAGGACTACACACCCTCAAGAAAGATTACCGAGAGTCCTTTTTAGGACTCCTCAATCCTCCCCTCTCTCTCTCACATGGTGCACCCGCAGGCCTAATGTATAGTTAACGATTAGTCGCAACGTATTTGCGATTTATTTCAATCTCAACTATATTCATAACATTAGGAGACTGTAAACTTGCGATATAAAGGTTGGAGGACCTGCGATTGATTCAGATCAATCGAAACTCTTTATAAGACGGGACCCTGGTTAATGTTAAACCATGTGAGAACACACTAATAATGATACTTTCAGTAAATGTCACAAAGAACTAACCACAGAAAAAAGATAACTCTCCAAACACCCTCATATTCGTAATGATAAAACGGTGGAGCATAATTGTCATGTCACATGGTTTCATGATTCCACATCCTCACTGTATAAACCAATACTTATCAATCAAAATAGTTCCCAGTCGCTTCCAGACAATGAATTCTTAAACAATATGATCGCTTGACTAGACCTCATCTTTATCTTTCATGATGAAAACCTACCCGAAACCGGTCTGAGACACTTGATCCTGTATTTGGGGTGTACCAGGGCGTAGTAGATTGGAATTCCAATCAATCCAATAAATAAACCGGCACCTTTCTTGATCGGATCAGCGTAGAGAGACATGCTAGCGATGAAAATCAACGTAGCTAGGTACAGGAAGGCCAGAACAAGTGGAACCTATGTGCACAAGATAATATTAATCAAAATTGACTATAAAAATATCTGGAACTTAGATCAATACAATAGTCTGTTAAAAGAAAGTATTGGTATTCAAGTCAGCGAGACCCCATAGATTTAACAAGTGTCTCAAATAAAGACAGTGTGCACGTTAGTAGTAGTATTAGTAGTAGTAGTAGTAGACTTTATTGGATAACTTATTTAGCACAGGGCTAATCTGCCACAAGGTCCATTGCACATAAATAGAAAGCAAGTTAAATATTCAACAGTTTAACACATACAATAGCATTAAACAATACAGATGACAATACACTGTAAAAAAATAATAGTCGAAATAACTCAATAAAATTGAGGAAAAGAATTGCCTTATTTTTATTAAGTAAATATTACCTACGGCATCTTAAGTAGAATTTACTTATTTTGCTGAATAAATTTTTACTCAGTTAAATCGAGTTACATTAACGTAAATAATTTAATTATTGTAATCATTTTAGATAATTAAAACAAAGCTATGATAGGATTACATATTGCACGATTTGGTACCCATCTAATCTAACAAGTAACATCCACTAATCATTCACTACTTCTATTTAAGATTTAACCGCTACCACCATCACAAACTATTACATACGCTTCAATTTGACACGTATTGAAAGGCTCCAAATTTTATATATACTTGATCGTAGCATCTTAAAAGGAAAATTGGTTGACAATTTCCTGAAATATCAAGTTTTGATTTGTTTTGAACTGGGTAACAATTAAAAATTGTCTTGTCTTTGCTTAGCCATGTTAAATGAATTAGTAAATGTTTTAAAGTCCTTAAATTTTCATTCAACCACAAAAAAGAATTGTTTTATTTAAAAAAGAGTTTAATTTGGTCTTAATGAATATTCATAAATTATGTAAATATCCTTACTTTAAAAAGATAAGAATAATCAACATAAATTGTTTGAGTAATATGTATAATTTCTGATTTTGAGTTAAAATTACTAAATTAATACAAGCTGAAATTACTTAAAGTTCTTATGTATTTGATTTTACTTAAATATTCCACGTATGTTCTACTAAATTGAAAGTTTGAGTTAGCAAGACTTAAATTTAATGCGTAAGTGGCAAAACTAATGTTTTCAAGTAAATTCTACATGGAAAAAATACGTAAAAATTACCAATGAACAAATTCTTTTTTACAGTGTAGCTTACAACATACTGAAATGAAATATACATTAATTGATTACAATGAGATACATAATTGACATTTGGCTGAAAAGAAATACATGCATATGATAAGAAAATTATAAACTATTTATTCATTTATTAACTAAGGAAATTATTCATCATCAAAGACCATTATACACGAGAAACAGATTTAGGTTTCAGTATCATTGTTATCTTACAGATCTTTCTTTTACTGTTGCGTTAAGCATAAGGTCGTAAGGTCGTAACTTAAAATTCCTGAGCGTATTTTTGATATGGGACTGTTCTCATGGAAAATGCAGATCATTTTCTTTCTTCTATAAGTTGATAAATAGAGACATCACCGTAATGTTTTTTGAAATGGCATGATTATGTATAGACCAGTCAAAACCTTAGGTTGCCAGTTATCCGACGAATTTACTTTGCGACATGCCAGCGCCACGCGCCAACGATATCTTGCAAGCGGCGCGATGTTTACCTTGTAAGGACGGGGAAGATTCGGGTATTTCCATCGGTAATAGGGTACAATGGCCACGGTGATCGTTTCGAATACGACATCGGCGAAACCCAGATACTCTACCAAAGCGATGATGTCGTTTTCGATCAAGTAGATGAGACTGATAACGGAAAACAAGATGGCGGGGAGTGGGGTCCGCCGAGTGATGGAAACCATAGAGAAGATCTCGGGGAAGTGTCCCTCTCTCGCAGCGGCAAAACTTATCCTGAATTGATGGGAAATATAGTTGTAAACAAGGTAGAATGAATACTACTCCAAGTAGTTTGCAATGGTACAATTTTCATTGGAGAATCATATGAGAAAATTATAACACTTTGCATTATAATACGCCGGCGGGGGAGGGGGGGGGGGGTGTAACTCAAATTCGCAGAAAGATCTTTGGGGAGACATTACAATTTGCCGACAGATATGTTTTACTCAAATCTACGTCCCCCCTCCCCCTCCTCATTCACAGTTACACAATGACTATTACGACAACGTCAAAATTAGCATTTTACCTTTAAACCCAAGCGAAGCTTATTAAAAGCATAATAGGTGGCCGGTTGGCTTATGTGACACTCGAAGGCAGACACCAAGGAAATTAAGCCATTTAGATCTTATTAAAGACGTTCTCCTGTCATCATATAATTCTATTTTTTAATTTTGTATATATACGAACTTTAAGTCTTGAAAACAATCTGTTTTGCATGACTATAGATACTACAATTGAACAAATTATTGTTAGACTGTCTTGATGGAACCAATTGAATAATTAAAAAAGTTCGTTATTTTACTAATTTTCGCTATAAATGTCTCTACCAAAAGTGCAGTGTCTGTTATTCTTTATCACTATAACTGACTTTCAAGGAACTGATTCTCAGACTTTAAGATATCCATCCCCTTAACCATCGGTTAAATTATTGGAGATTTAAGTTAGTATTACAGTAAAAGTTTTGATGCGATTTTGTTCAAGTACCAACTACAAAAGACTATACCTTGCCGATTTGAAAAGACCGCTGTTTTGACTTCCCAAAGCGGAGAGGGCGACAAACAGCCAGATGATCCATGACCACTTGATTCCAAGAGCTAACACGCTGTAGTCCTATATACAATGAAGTGAAGTATTACCAATACTACTGGTCTTGTACTACCACTTTCATGTTTCACTTCAACATCCACTTCAAGTGCCACTTCTACTCTCACTTCTTATACCACTTGTACTTCTACTTGTACTCCTCTTCTTCCTCCTCCTCCTCCTCCTCACACTACTACTACTCCTACTACTACTACTTCTACTTCTACTATTACTTATACTACTACAACAAATACTAGTACTAATACTACTACTGTACTAATATTTACTACTACTACTACTACTACTACTACTACTACTACTACTACTACTGATTACTGATATTTTAACTGTTGCAAGTGTTACTTCTATTTGATTACATTCCCGTGACTTACTACTATAATCAAACTACTACCACCACAACTTCTACTACTACTACTACTACTATTACTAGAACAGATGCGACGTCAAAACAATAGAATAGTTCTTACCGCTGCAACAGCCTCGGAGGCGATTATTCGATTTGGTGAGAGGAGGGTAAGGTAGGCGACGTTAGTCATGAGGTATACCACCGTGATCAATGACATCGAGATCACGATACTAAGGGGGATGTTTCTGGAAAGAAAGACAAAAGTTTTCATCTCATGTGCTCCTGTTCGTGGAATTTTGAAGGCCTTCGATCGCCATCCCTAGGCGTACATTTCTCTAAGAATCCTACTAATACGTCCATTCGATTTTAGATGCGATATATCCGACAGCGTATATGTAATGGTGTTGTGGTCCAGTGGAATAAGTCTCCGGACTAAAAACCGCAAGGTACGGGGTTCGAATCCCTGCCGCATCACTAACGTCATTTGGCAAGACAGGCTACATTTGCCACAATCCACCCAGGTGAGGTAAATGGGTGCTTGGTAGAATTTCCTTAAAATGCACTGTAAGCTGATAACGGCTGCGGGAGCGACAGCTAGGGTAATAATTTCCAAAGCTCTTTGGAATCGCATAGGGATGTTATATTTACATGTATTAACTCTTTTACAAGAACGGATTATTAATATTATTGTTATCGTGTACCGAAGCGTAAATCCACCTTAGTAGCTGAATAACTCGAAATAGTCATATGATGGTTTATTTTTAGAAGCATAGATTCACCTCCCCCCTCATTTAATATTTCATGGAGGCTATGTATTATCTAATCTTTTATATCAAATGCAAAATACACTGTGTATTTTTTTTCCCTTCAATTTTACCTTTGAGGGTTTTTTACTTCTTCGGTTATGCTGGTGATAACACTCCTGTAAAACAAAGAAACAAAACAAAAATCATTTTAGAGTCATATATATTATACTGTAACGTCGATTTATTTATTAACTATTATCGTTATTTTCTTCTTTGGGGCAAAATAATAATTCAGCTAGAATACAAATGTGGAACGTCAAATTGTCTTTCTGTACCAATAATTTTCTTCTGTTGTCACATTATGAACATCTGTCGAATATGTTATCAATAATTCATTTAAATTATTGTTTCAAAGCACTGAGAGGAGTTTTAATGTATTTGCACGAGGATGGTAAGTCTCTTTCGCATATATTCTTTCACACGAATTCGATATTTCAGTACAGATGATGATGATGTAGGAAATTATATGCACGTGATTAGTGATGAAGTGAAACGAAACAGGGCTTTAATTTTCTCCTGTTGTCACATTGTGAACAAACCATCCGCTGTACGCCCAGATACCGGAGAGTAGACCGGTTGGGAGAAGAGTGACGTCATAGGAGCCAGTGTTGAACGCGTGCTGGAAATGTTCAGTGTGTCCTAAAATGAATGAAGAGCATGTAAGGTTTATTTTCATATTCAATGTACACTTCATCGTTGAATGCATTCAGTAGCGGTTCTAGTGAAGGTCGGGGAGCTGACATAACACCCCCAAACAAAATCTGCTAGCCTCCACCCCGAAAAGAACATGCGAGGCGCATGTAGAAAAATTGATGCTAGAGCCCCCAAGCCAAACCACACAGCCCCTCAAGACCGGCCTCCCAATTATTCTAGAGCTGCTCCTGCTTGATTGGAGGAATGATATCGCACACATCCCGTATAAACATACGTAAAAATCATTTTACCCCTTCAAAAGTAAAGAAGTATAGGCCTACATTTTTTTTTAAACCCTTGATAGTGGAACCTTATAGTGTCCCAAGCCTAAAAGTGGAAGACTGCCCCTCTGTATTTGTCGTTCATTTATCAACATGGTGAATACGTATGCTGAGTTCTAAATATCAATATCAATAACAGTGATGAAAGGCGTAAATAACATGAGTCTACTCAGAGGGGGGGGGGGGGGGGGGGGGGGGGGGGGGGGGGAGGGGGGAGGGGGAGGGGGAGGGGGAGGGGGAGGGGGGAGGGGGAGGGGGGGGCACTAGTCTTGATAGGTAAAGGAGCGAGAGGGTGAAGAGCATGTGGGAGGGTTTGTTACATATTCTTTTTCTAAGGTTAATGTTCACGTACCTCCACCACCTCTCCTTCTTTTTCCCTTTCTCTCTACGTACCCCCTCTTTCTTTCTCTCCCTTTCTCTCTACCTACCCCCTCTTTCTTTCTCTCCCTTTCTCTTTCTCTCTTCCTTTCTTGTCATTGAAGGGACGCCCCCTGGCTAATATATATCACTGACCATAATGAATAACATGAATAGTGAATGTATATACCTAGTGTCAGGTTATGTAGCCCAGTTATGACGATGATGACCAGACCGGCAACCTTCGTGATACTCAGCACACCAGCCAACTTGGATGCTAAACGAACACTGAAACAGTTTACGGCCTGGACAAACACTGCGGGACAAAAATTACTTGATAATCATACAAAACACGTAGAACATATTGATATGTGTTTCAGAAACATAAAGAATTTACTTTCCAATATTATGCTAAAATAGCAAATAAGTAATAACGTGGTTGACAACAATGGGACATGCTATAAAGCAGAGCTCCTATGAATTGATTTATCTATTTTTAGTTTAGGTGTATCTGTAGATCGGTCATGGAATAATAAAAAGTATACAAACATAGTTTATATATACAATTGATATAAAAAAAAAATGTGAAGGCAACCACCCCGTCCCCCAGAAAAGTAAAAACTGATTGTGAAAGTCGAAGATAAAAGACTAGACAGTGGAAACAGAGAAGATGGAGTGAAACAGAAAAAGTAGAGAACGACTAGTGAGGAGAGAAAGAGAGAGAGAGAGAGAGAGAGAGAGAGATGGATATCCGTTGCATATCCAAAATTCGATAAACCGAGGGCGAAATCTTCTAATAAACGAGGAAAGTACCCCTGACTTTAGGAATTCTATTAGGACTCGCGTGTCATAGAAGTGCAAATTTAATGATTTTTTATTATCTCCTAACCCCCTTTACCCAACTGTTATTATCTTCAAAACTCACATAGGCAGATGACGCTTACGAGGCGTAGCGATGCGACAGGTGCTTCCGCGCACTGAAAAAAGGGAGTCAGCAAGTATCTTGAGATTGTCATTACACCGATAGCTCCACCACTCGGGGCAATGATAAACTGAATCACCCACAGTCGGATAAAGGCCATCAGGGGTCCCCATGCCTGCAAAATGAAGGTGAAGTCCCCTCCTGACTTCTTCATGATGACGGACAGTTCAGCTAGCGTGAGGGCGCCACACGCGTTGATCATGGCGCATACTATCCACAGGATGAAGGAGACACCCACGGAACCTCCTGCACCTCGAAGGACACCAGTCGGAGAGATAAAAATGCCTGTGCCAATAATCGACCCTATCTGCGTATAAAAGCAAACGTTTGATATATCCTTAGTAGGTCTTTAATTCTGTAGATATCACCCAGCTCTGCAAAATGTAAAGGCAAGAACATGACGAAAAATGTCCTCCATTCCACTCTCCTGACAGCCTTTCCTTTGGCCTGCTATTCAATTCAATTCAAATCAATTCAATTCATTTATTTTTCCTCTTTCAATCGTTCATATTTACAATGATGGTACATTTTAACATATTCACATATTTATATTTATATTTATCATATAGATCAATTTGCACAAAACAATACATTAAAAAATAAACATAAAATTGAAAGGGAAGGAGGTCCGACTAAAAAGCAGAGCTTGTAGGGTGTAAGCCCCCCTGTAGAATTAAGTATCATTAATCATTTTTTTTATGAGAAAAAAACAACACAATAATAACAATAACTGATTCAGTAATACAAACAAAAAAAATCACTTTTTAAACGCAAAACATTGATAAATACATACATGTCAATAAAAAGAAACAATCAAAGTTGCACAAAGTCACACTACAAATTATATTTGATTGAGGAATGCAATAGCCTAGTAATTATTCAGAAGAAAGCTTTTAAGTCTCCTTTTGAAAATTTGTATCGAATTCACTGTATAATATCATTTGAAAGAGAATTCCACAGTTTTGGACCTGTAAAAACAAATGTCTTTTGTGCAAAAGATCTATTCAAGGACAATGTTAATACACCCCACTGGATCACCTATGTACATTATTTTCGGATTATGTAATTTTTGTTGCTGTAATGTTCGCACATTTTTTGAAAGGTTTCGGACAAGGATTTTGAATGTCTTAGTGAAAATATGAGCAATAATAATTGTAATATTTAGTTGATTATCTTTGTTACTTAATTCCATCAAGGGCATGGTTTTGACTCAATTTAAAAAAATGATTGATACCCGAATTCCGACGTTGTTGATCGGGTAACTGTGACAGCTTAAGGCTTTTAAGGAATATACTCACCAAGTGCCAAATGCAGTCAAAAAGTCCAAGATGTCGAGGAATGGCAACTTTGGATTTTGAGTCAGAGCCATCGTTTTCATCCAAAGGCGTGTGTCGGTTTTCCGTCGTCCTCATTTTGCCTTTATTGACGTGATCAGGTTTACAAAAGCTGTAAATAGCAACGACATATAATCTAGAATTAAATTCTTCTACCGTGTAATACTTACTTTCAACATTTCTCAAACATTGGTCAAAATTTGCGTCAGGAAAAATCATACCGAATTTTGGAATATCTTTGACAAAAGAAAGGCCACAAAGAGCAAGCTATGTGTGTTCATGCGTATGTGGGACTACATGAGTTTATGCATGTACATTTGTGAGTTGTTTGCGTATATCAGGCGCGGATCCAGGATTTTCCAATAGGGGGGGGGGGGGGGCCGGAAATTCGAAATTCGCGCAGACCGTTATTTAAACTTACCAATACTGACAAGGTCATATTAGAAGCACTGTACTTTAATAGTGTACTGGTACCTACAAACGGGCACCATTATTTTGGAAAGGGGACATGCTCACGTCACATTTCTTGTCCGATATCAACATTCCCCGTTTTCAAGTTATGCTCGCGCGCAATTTTTTTGACATTTCCATCAGTGGGGGCTGAAGCCTCTTGCTCCAATATCTGTTTCCTGGTTTAATAATTTGGCGAGCGAGCGAAGCGAGTGAGCGGAAATTTGAGCTTATGTATATATGTTGTGAAAGTGTTAATCGTCACCAAAATATACGAGATAAGATATAACAAATGCATATTGGTATTTTTTAAATTTTCGGGGAAAGAGAGGCTGCAACCCCATCCCGCATTAAACTGCAGGTGTTTTGAAATCAAATCAGACTCCCCAAAAAAGTATAAACCAAAACGCACGAATCCAGTTTCAAAAATCCAAAAAATGTCAGCTTCAGAGGGGGGCACATCACCCCTCAGACTCCCTCTAAAAGTATTAACCAAATCGCACGAATCCAGGTAAAAAAAATTCAGCTTCAGAGCTAGAGAGGAACCCCCCCCCTCCCCACACACCATGGGTGTCGATCCTCACGTAATACTTGTTCATCAGGGGGGGGGGGGTGAATGAATAGATCATCCCCCCCTGATGAATAGGTATCAGTGACAGATCGACACCCATGCCACTCACACACACACATACAGACACCCCCTGTGCGCGCAAGCGCGAAATTAACGCTGGCGCTAATGCGTAAGCAGGGGCGGCGGAGCTATTTCCAAAGTGGAAAGCACCAACAAAAAAGGGCACCTACAAAGCGAAATCTCAAAGCGAAAATATACATTTTTTTAGACATTGGTATATATCCTTTCATTGTGATTCCATTATCAGGGACGATTTCAATATTTGTTTTTCTTTATAAAAAGATATTGCTTAAGCATCACACTTTCGGCTGGGTGTGATTGTCTGAATATTTATTTGCGAGCGAGCAAAGCGAGCGAGAACAAAATGTAAAATCTGTGAGGTCGCAGAGTGAAAAATTACATCTTATAAAGAGGAAAAAAACAAATCATGATGGGGTTATAAGCATCACGGAAGACTGAAAAAACTTTGTTTTAAAGTGACATATAATTGTATCATCTATAAATGCGAAGGAACGAGCGAGCTTTAGGGGAAATTACTCTTAGTCGCTTTAAATTAGGTGCAAGACTAATGATGAGCAAGTTAGGGGGGCACGTGCCCCCCCCCCGTGCCCCCCATGGCTACGTGCCTGATGATGAGAGGTTAAGGGGACACTTATCGAAAGGGATAAAGACACTTATTAGGAAAGAAAAGGAGCATGTGTCAAGGTACAAAGAGTAATTATCAAAGATTCAAACGGGGCACTTCTTACACCTGAAAGGAGGCACTCACCAGAAATGAGATAGGGCACTTATGAGTATGGGAAATGGGCATTTGTCGACGGAAAAGGGGCATCCATCGGAAATTGATTTATCAGAGGTGAAAAGGGGCATTTATGAAAAGGGGATAGGTCCCTTATTAGAAAGGAAAAGGGGAACGATTCAAAATAAAAGGGCAGTTAGCAAAGGTGAAAATGGGCACCCATCATAGATGAAAAGAGTACTTATCAGGAGGGGAAGGGGTACTTTTCAAAGTAAAACGAGCATCTCTCAGATTTGAATAGGGGCAATTATCGGAGGTGAAGAGAGCACTGAAGTGAAAAGAATTAACTTCTCATATATGAAAATGGTCATTTACCAGAGATGAAAAGGGACACTTTTTATTTATGAAGGGCCTCATTTTTCTAAATAGCCCTTATCAGATAGGAAAGGGGGCACATGTGTTGATGAAATGTGCGCTTATCCGAGTTAAAAAGGGGAAGGGGCACTTCTTAACAAAGTAAAAGTGGCCCTTTGGGGGGTACTTGAAGAGTGGGGCGAACTTTGCCCCCTACCCCTGCCACCCGCCCCATCATCTGAAAATCCAAAATGATGTTGTAGGGGCCGGGCGCGGCTTTATCATGAGTGTTTTTATGTGAACCTCTTTTAAAAAAATACATTATGCTGGATTCCGACCCAGATTGCACACTCTAAAATGAAAGTTTGATCATCCCCAATACGCTTGCAGTTCACGTATGCACCCCTTCCTCCTAATCCATCGTTACCGTCACTGCCATTTACGTATGGCCGGCCGGTGTCGTGGCGTTATGTGTCTTAGCGAATTCACGTCTGTACAGACGCATATCGCCAGGCGATACGCGTCTTAGAGACGCGTCTCGCCGCATTCCACCGGCGATATGCGTCTCCTAGATGGGCGATATGAGTCTGCGATTGGCGAAAAGTGTCCACTCTATTTGTTAACGTTTATTTTCAGAAAAACCTTAAAACAAAAAGTTTGGCGTATTATTTAGTTGTTTTTATGTTTGAAGTGTTATGTTTTTATAAATGGGGCTTGCAAAAAATGTTGAGTTGCAATCGATTGCAAATAACTTATATTTTGCAACTATATCAAACGAAATATCTACATTAAAACAAAATGGCGATATATTTTCAATAATTAAGTTTAATGTCAGTATAACTTAAATGTCAATATATTTCTAATCATCCTCGGGACAATTATTCACTGCACAGCCATTAATTTAAATCGTGTAACATGTCTACATGCATGTATATTCGGAATACGAGTCTGAATTCTTAGACTGGGCGCGCGGAAATGTACGTACGTACGTACGTCCAGGCCGCGCATATTTTTTTTTATTGTTCAGTCAAGTATACTGTGCGAATGACTGGAGACAGAGTCTATTTTTGGATTGCTGGAGCTGTACATACTCGGGCGTGTAGCTAGCAGCGGCTGTGATTAGCCACATTAATTGTAGGCAGGGGCGGCGATCCCAGGGGGACGGGGGACACGTCCCCCCGGAAATCCGAAAAAGTGCAAAAAATGAATAGCAAATACTGACTACAGACTGCAACACACTTATAAGCTCTGGAGGGCCCAAGAGTACAGCGTTTAGACTAATAAAAATGCAAACAAATATTCTCGCTCGTTCGCTATAGCATCCCTTGCATAATATCCTTCAAAACATACAAGTAAATATTGTAGAAAATCTATATATTCCATTGGTATCACGTAAGCACAGTTTACACTGTATATTTACAAGATTAAGAGTTATAGAAATAGATCAGTGCTAGTGTGCTACAAAAATGAATATTCCGCTTGCTCTTTTCAGTAAGGAGTAATACAACATATTAAGTGTATATATTTGCCAGGCTGATAATTTAACATCGGTAGAGCAGTGGTCTTGTCATCCGGTGACCCGGGTTCGAAACCAAGTCAAGGCGCTAGTGCCCTTTTGGAAGGCATTAATCCTCATTACCAGGCCCCTCGGAGAGGACCTAAAGCCGTCGGCCGTCTGGTTGCTTACTAACAAAACAAGCATTTATGCTTTCTTAGCAGTCAGGTAAAATAACCGCCACCAGGCTGATATTTGCCATTTCAACTCCCATAGCGATATCAATATACATGTATATGACAGAGGTCTAGAGTGGGAAATAGAAATCCCATCCATGCCCAAGCTTCCTACTGATACTAAAATTTACCTCCTAAACTGATATTTACAACCCTTCGGACTGCCCACTAGTTACCAGCAAAGTAAAAGAGGTATATTGCTTGGTTTTATAATATAGTTTTGCTAAGGAAAGTAATTTTTTAATACAACAAAACTTCAAAAACCCTGTGAGGGGATAGTCAGTGCCGTCACCTTCGCCCCTCTCGTTCACAATGCTCCCTCGTCCCTCGCACTGGCGTACTGATGGGGGCTTGGGGCAGTTGCCCCCCCCCCCCCCAAAAAAAAGAAGATTCAAACGTATTTCTCACTTTTTTGTAAATTATACTGTTGTATTCGTTTATGGAAAATTCCCAAATTTACAGTCAGCCAAAACTATGCTTATTTAGAAGCCTACGTGTCAAGGCCCGCGGATCGGGGGGCTCGAGCCCCCGCCCCCTCACTTTTTTGAAAAAGTGTCGCAATATATGCTCGTCTGACCGTAATTAAATACCTAAAATGTCTGAGCTTGCGGGGATCCACCCCTTGGGTCCTACAATGGACCCTAAGGCGGGCTCCTGGATGCTTATCTGACCGTAATTAAATGCCTAAAACCCCCGAGCTTCCAGGGGCTCTGCCCTTTGACCCCACTAAGGGCCATAAGGAGGGCCCCTATATGCTTATTTGACCGTAATTTAATGCGTAAAACCCCTGAGCTTTAGGGGGCCCCTTGACCCCACGTCAATTAGCGACCTGACAGTGTCACAAATAAGGTATCAAAATATGCTTATCTTACCGTAATTAAACGCCTAAAACCCCTGAGCTTCAGGGGGTCCACCCCTTGACCCCCTTTGGGGCTTTTCGCCTGGACCCCAAGCAGTAAAGGCAATATAGTCTCAAACAAATCTACACATTCAAGCTCACTCACACATGATATATTGCTTTCAAAGCTACTTATTATTTCAAGTTCATGTATATACAAACGGCAACAGTTTCAATATAAAATGTAAGTTCTTCTCACTTAAAGGACCCATGACATCGAATTACAAGTGTGTTCCTGTTGGTGTGCAGTCCTGCAAACATCACATATTTTGATATGTAAACTTCTGAATTTGGTTCATAGATTTTTAA